GAAGAAGAAGAAGAAGAAGAAGAAGAAGAAGAAGAAGAAGAAGAAGAGCGGGAGCTTGAGCATCATAAGGTGAACAAAAGCTTCATGATGCTCTATACAATTCCATGCATGTTCTTGTTCAGGAGCTAGCAAACTTGTTCATCGAGTCAGAGGTACTCCAATCGAAGTGGCGTGTGCAACGCAGGCTTACTTGGAGAGATTGGAAGATCTGCTTCGATCTTTCTGGGATTTTCTGGGGGTCTCATGAGAAGCACAGAGGCTTTCCACCACCCCTCTCCCTAGTCTTTCCACCAGCCACCTCTACTGCCTCCCAGTCACCTGTGGCAGGGAAGCCTCATCGCCCGGCAGCTCCTCCATCGAGATGGCGTCCTGCGCCGCCGAGCCCGCAGCCACACGCCGCGAGAAGTTGGCCTGGGAAAGCAGGAGCGATAGGCCGGTTTCAAGAGGCCGTATTCATCCAGAAATGAGGCCAACAAGATCGCAAAAAAAAGGAAAGATCGTGGGAGGTATACAGTACTGTAGATGGATGTTCTATGAGAGATCAACCCGGGATACCTGGACTGTTTCGTGTGAAAACCCCCGTTCACCCGTTCGTCACGCAAGATCGGCGGAGTGACCTCCTTTCCTCCTTTCAATGCATGACCGGCACAACTGGGCACCCATACCGACACCAGTGCCGCTAGACCGGCTGCAGCCTGAAGAGACTGCGCTGAGTGTACCATCTCATGTCCGGACGAGCGGGCCGTGCCCTCATGTGGCAAAACCGGTGAGTACCAGTGGTGTGTAACCATCTGTGTAACCATCTGTGTAACAATGGGCCGTCAAGCAGGTCCAAATGCTACATGCTTGGAAGTCCAAACTTGAGGTCCGAAGGAAACCCCCTGCGAACTGAGGGATGCCTTTGGATGCCTTTGGATTGGATTCATTCACGGTGCCGTCCGATCATTCCTCTTGCCCTGTTGGCATCCTAACGCTAACCAATGCATCCTACACATTGCAACCAGCGATTGCGTGGGACTGGGGGCGACGTACAGACATGACGAACGGCTGAGAGCCCTACATCACCAGCCAGCCGTCAGGACATGGGATTTACCAGGAGAGGTTGAATGACCCAAACATGTTCGACTATACCATAGGTATTTCAGTGGGGTCCTATGGTCCCGCTGACTGGCTACCTCTCTTGGTTGGACTGAAACGAATGAATCAACCACCTACCTTCACAGTTCACATCTCCGGAGCAGTACAGCTTCCTGTGGCCAGTTCAACCTGTTCTACAAAAACATTGGTCCTGGGTCAGCATACCACTGCACTGAGTATGAAGATGTCTTTCAGAAGGACACAATGAACACACGAGACATTCATAGATCTTCCAACTCTGCCGCAAAATGTCTGCCTTTGGGCTGGTTGTTCAGCACGAAAAGGCATCAATTCTGCAGACTTGGAAGATCAGAAGATCCAGGTTGAAATCTGCCTCATTCCACACTTTGATACAATGTCCGACCTCCCTCCCTCGACCTCGTTGCATCTCCTTCCACCTCGGTGCCCGCCTGTTTCACGAACGACGCGTACCTCTCACCACCGGCCCTTCACTCAGCTCACAGCCACCCCACCCCACCGGCGAGGTCGCCTCCGACTCCTCGTCCTCGGTCTCCTCGGGTGGCACCAAAGACGCGAAGCCCATTGGGAGGCCATCCGGGTCGGGAAGGCTGGAGAGAAGGGAGGTGAACGAAGCCACGGCACTGGGGTGCCGGAACCAAGGAAAGACAGGAAAGAAAACAGCGAACTTGGAGGGTGCTGGCATCAGCGAACTTGGACCAGTCACCCTGGCAGAAGTGTTGAAGAACCCGCCCCCCAAAGTTGTTTCGTGTTCCAAAAAGAAGAACAGGTGTCGTTGGATCCTGGGAAGGCTGCTGCGCAGTCTGAAAGAGATCTTCAACTGGATCTTGTTTTGTTGCATGTGTATCTACAGTCAACTGATCAATCCAGGGCCTCCAAAATGCCGCCCACAAAAGGAAGACGAAGATCGCCGTCATCTGAGTCTCTTTGCCCCAGAAAAATCTCGGCGCATGTGACTGATGTGACCTTGATGGAGTCGTGTGACCATCGGGTTTGGAGGGTACAAGGATGGTCTGGTGGCCTGGGCTGGAAAGAACAACGAATCGTTCTTTGATGCCAGGGAGATTTCACCTGGGAAAAGAAGCCGCCCAAGACCCGGGAGACCTCAATTCGGAACCCCACCAAACCCCCAAGACTCCCGGAAGTCCAGGGGTTCTTGGCCAAAGCTGTGGCATCGCTCAGCCCCCCGGCGCCAGCGCCAGCCTCTGTTTTGGGCGAGCCCGCTTGAGGCCTCCGCCGTCGGGTTTCAGCGCTGACCAAGCGTCCGAGCGAGGCGGGGCGACGTCGGCTGATGTGAAAGGGCACCGGCGATGTGGTTGCACATGCCACAAAACCCAAAAAGAAGGCACCATGGGTCCCTTTGCCCGATGTCCTTTTCACAAGCCTTCGGTGTGTCTCTGTTCAGCCCCCACTACGTTCAAAAATCGCTGCAAAAATGGACCGCGTGAGCTCTCCACAAACAGACTTTCCCAAGAAAAAGATGAGAAACATTCAGACAGGGATCTCTGAGGAACTTCAGGGGAACCTGCCACCAAGAAACCAATGACCAAACTGAGGAACATCTGGGCACTGGAGCATACTGGAGCTCCACGTGAGCAGAGCTTGCCGAGAAAGCTAGCGTTTTGATAAGGTCTGTCAGGTGCTGTAACTAGGAACCGGTCCTAGCTGCTAGAAGGCAGATTGAATTTACATGTACAGGGGCATGATACTGCAAGCTTTAGGAAATGGTAGCAATCATCTATCCACGGCTATTCTTCCCTACCCAAACAAGCTCTACGAGACCAGCAAATCAATCACCCTCCTCCCTCCGGAAAGAGTGTCAGACTCCGGCGCCTGCTAGTGACCTGGAAAACACAAAAACAAAAACAAACGCGGGGAGCGGTGAGGTGGCACGTGTTGGTTTTTAGGTGGGTTTTACTCAGATCTTTTCATGTGTCCTTTTTGATGCTCTGTAGCTTTGCCTTGTTGGCTAATGGTCTTTAATCAAGAGCACTGGAAAACTGAATGTCTGTCATACCTTTAAGGGAACAATAAAGAATACGCAATGACCAGGACAGCCAGGACACATACTCATTCTCAAGAAGATAGAATGTGCGACAACCACCCGGTCACTATATACCCCCCCAGCTAAGAACGATGTACTTCATCCATGGATTTGACAGGGTCCTTTTTCTCCCCACTTACAGAAGGACAATGCTCGCTCGTCTGCAAGTCGACCCAAAAAATATCGCAATGCCCAAAATGCCAAAACCCAAGAAGCCCGCCATAGTCCGCCTCAAACCCGAATTGGTTTACAAAGGCCCGCTGAGTGATCAAACACCCGGACCGATGAAAAAGCTCGACGTCGGTCATGATGCGTCACTTCAGACATGTCAAACCAACCAACAGAGGTTGAAGGACCCTATAGGCCCTATAGCCTATCCCATAGGTACCCCAGTAAGGTCCTATTTACGGTCACATAGGGGGAAGCCCGAGACTCGAGGTACTCCCTGGAAAGGCTCATGGAAGGTTCAGTGCACCACCTCTTCATCCACGTAACCATGATGACTAGGGAGTGTAAGTGGTTCCAACAAACAACGAAGGGAAAGGCGCCTCTGAATCAACCTGTTTCATCTGCTGGAAGGTGCTCTGGGTGTTGACATTTATACTCTGGCCTTCCTGCTCATCTATTCATAGGAAGTTTAAAGCAATTGAATGAACCCCTCCCCCTCCCAACTAATCTTCACCCCAAAGTCGGAACTTCTGAAACCACTGTAGCTCCATGCATCTTTGTTCCAAGGGAATTGGCTGGCGATTCTGAAAACTGGTGTGGAATCCTGCATGGAAAAAACTCCGAAAGCCTTTTGGGCAAAACTGCTTGTAACCTGAGCTCCACCATCCCACAGTCAAACACCAAAGTTCTCTTTACCCCTCGACCAAGCCTTAATGAGCTCAAACATGAGCTGCCGAGCAGCGAGAAAAGCATGTCACACTATGTCACCCTGGCAAAAGCGTGTGCCTCCACCCATCCTCCACCCCGGTGCTGCCCCTAAGGCAGCAGTCCTCCACTCTTCATCTCGCCAACCCGTGGCCTTGGGAGAAGGAGGACTTAAAGAGCGAGCCGCATCGCTGGTGGCATCCGCTGGCCTCAGAGAGAGGGATATAGCTTTGCTGGGTTGGAACATGTTGGCGAGGCGCAAGGAGGGAGGGCTGTATTCTGCCAACATCAAGTTCAGATGAAGAGGTACCCACAAGAAAAAAGACCTTCGAAGCGTTCAAATTTCTTTCAAGAGATACCACAAGGAAAAGACCTTCAAAGGGAGGTTTAAAAGAAATCACGTTTGGCCTCAAGTGCCAAAGCATCTACAACCATTACAAACCGAAGCCTTCAAAAGAACGACGCAGAACAGCTGTATGGTCCTAGCAACCCGTAGGAACCGACAAATACCTCAGGATCCACTGATCCGACCATCATTTGGATCGCCCACAGCTTGGGCGGCATAGTGGCATAGCCCTGATAGTGCATTTGCACCATAAAAAGGAGTCTAAAATGAGCTGCCTGCGGTCTAAAATACAAACCGAATGGGGTTTTCTTCGTGGATTGCTGGTGAAGCACTCTACCTAAGTGTTGGAAGCAATCTTTGGGGCAAAAGAGGGAGGTTGATCACCTTGTAGGAACAAAAGTAGCGAACCAAGTGACAGTTGGCCAGGACAATGCAGAACGCCGCCCTAGAGTAGCTCGTTCCAATGCAATGTCTGATGGCCAAAACATGGCCAAGCCAATAGCGCAGGCTTCTCAATTCGGCTGCAGAAGCAGCTTCAGGGTGATCCCTGACTTCGGGACAAACAGTCGAGTTCAGAAAACAACCCAAAAAATATCCACCTGGCTTTCATGCAACATCCTGGCGGGTCCATTCCCCCCTTTCTAGTCCATTCTGCTCCTTTTGACACAACAGTCCCCCCTGATCCAAATCCGACCCCTTGGTCCATCTGTGATTGCTTGAATATAAACATCTGGGCATCTCCAAACAAAAAACTCCCGTGCCGCCCAAGCGTCCCTTCAGTTCCTTCAGTTCCTACGATTCCTTCCTTCTTCAGTTGGATCTCACGCAAGGCTGCCTGCGGTCTGATTCGAAGGAAGTTCCAGTTTGGAGGTTGAAAGTCGTGGGCAGTGAGCACAGCGTCAACGCGGGCATCTCATCTAAAAAAAAGAAAACAGCGTCCTTTTGATCAGAACTGCGGAGGCTTACGCACCGATACCAAATGATATGACAAGCATGTGGCAGAACTCTGTGTTTGGTCTTGTGAAAAGTGATCCGCAGACACGGAACCTCTGACATTGGACCTGCTCATGTGTGTGTTCTTCTTCGGTCATTTGCGGCCCCATTCTTGCTAGTCCTCGAACACGATCCCATAGGCCTCTAAAGCTGCTGAATGCGGTGTCTTTGGACTGGTCGGCGAGGCCACCACGCGCGAACTGGCTTCAGCAGCAGAAGCCCTGCGTGGAACGGGACCCGTGTGTTCTCTGAAAACACTGGAGTCAGACGTCCGCTGACTCTAAGAGTCTACAAACCCCCCCAGTACCCCCCTGTCTGGATTAAAGAACCTCCGTTCAGCGGAAAGGTGTTAGGTGTTATTGATCAAGAAGAGCCCACATTGAAATGTTGTCCATGAAAAGATGCAAAGGATTCGACCTGCTCGAACAAAAACAACCCCAAGTCCGGAGTTTCTTCCCAGTTCGTATGAAAACAGGAACTGGAAAGGAAATGAGGAAACCTTGTGTCTAACCTTGTCCCGACATTTTCCCGTACCAAAAAACATGAGACAACGTTACACGCCCGATGAGATCCAATGAGTGCGCTGACATCCACCAGGCGGCACTTGCTGTGGATGTTCTCCTTGCGTTGTTTCCATCTCCTCTCCGAGATCTGCCACGGAAGCCTGACAGAAGCATGTGGATTCCCTGAGATGGTGGGAGAGGGATGTGGGTGCGCTTGAAAGTCGGTCAACCTTAAGGACTGAGCCGAAAATGGTCAAATAGTCTTAAGCACGCTCATGCAATGAATATTTGATCTACAGGAGAAGATCTGTAGGGCTTGCCTGGTATGAAACCGGAGACTTCTTTGTGTTTCCTGTCGCCAATTTATCTACAAAAACAAGGACAGGGATTTGGTACTTCCTGCGTCCCTTTATCTACAAAAACAAGGAAAGAATTTGGGACTTCCTGCGTCCCTTTACAAAACGATTGCAAGAATAGTTCCCAATCCTGTGATGTGTGTTTTTTCGAGGCAAGTGCTGCCTCTCCTATCATCAGGTTGATATTTTCTGGTTCAGCATCATGGGGCTGGCCTGTTGGAGAGAGAAACCCACCAACTCGCCAACTCGCTGGGGTAGATGGCCACTTGGGGTTCACCAGAAACAAATCCCTCTGTTCAATGCAACGAAGTTGTCCACCTTGGCTATCCCTGAACGAGCATTTGGAATCAAAACATGCGGGATTGTCACATCCAAATACACTCTGGAAACCCTTTTGCAGGGATGTGCAAAATCCACCCGCGCAGACTGGTTAGGGGCTAAACATGTCTGCTCCAGCCAACACACCGGTTTACCTTCGAAACAATAAAAATGGTCCGTCATGTTTCAACTCGCCCCTTGACAAAGGAGCTTGGGTCGTTGCATGTCCCATGTAACATTGGTGCTGCTGCCTCTGTTGCCTCTGCTGCCTCTGCTGAACGCTCCCGTGAAGGACTTGATGCAGGGCTCTCCGTCCCAGGCCTTGGAGTTGTGGCATCTGTGATGAAACGAAAGGGTTTTGGGTCGGAACCAGCAAGGAAAGTGATCCAAACTGATCCGACCACGGGGCTCAGGCTGTTTTTCAGCGGTCCCCTCTTGATCCTTTGCAATTCGCATGTCTACGGACCGAACTTGGAACCATCAATGCCACACTGATGCGTTTCTTGCCGCGAGCCTGGGCCCTTGGTCACAGAGAAGCGCAGCTTCGAAGATGATATGAAAACAGCCCTGGGATGTTTCGGGTGTCTTCGATGTCCTGAAATGCTTCGATGTCAGGACATGTTGAAAGAGTTTTGCCAGACCACGTACCATGACGCGCCTCCCCTCGTGAAAACCAAACAGTCTACTCTCCCTTCTTTCATGATGCAGCAACATTGCATCGCCTACATGGTTTGTTGTTGAATATGGAGCTTCTCCTTTTAACAAAAACAAACACAACGTTCCGGCCCGCTGACATCGTTGGAGACGGCTTTAACTTCAAACAAGCCATTCCATTCGCACTATCAGCTCCGACTCTCTTCAACCCCAGCTCCACCAACGAACCCCTTCACCCGCCACCAGAACGATTCCACCAGCGTTTCCCCCACCGAGAGGGGGGCGCATGAGGAATCACGACAAGAACCCGAACCACCGCCCAAAGGATTTTGTCGGTTTCCAGGACTCTGTGCCGGCGAGTTTCCTCTACAAACAGGAGGTTGTCCACTTTCATGTTTGTACGGAGGGTGCATGACCAGCATCCCCTCACAAGTGCCCCACCCGCAGCCAAGTGTCTCTAGCTGAGAAGGCTCCATCGACTGCTCCAGCGTCTGCTCCCTTGCATCTGTGTCCGATGTGGCCAGTCTCGCCTTCCAAACGGTTTCCGATGCCATTCGGTTTCAGGGAAGGTAGGTCCTACCATCCAAAAGCCCTTGCGCAATGTGTACCTGCATGAATCGTGAACTGACTCCTCTCCCTCCCACCCCCTGTCCCTCCTCTCGTCTTCGGAGCCCCTTGCAAGAACCGTGCTTTCCAATGCCTTGCTTTCCACTTGAATGCTCCGTGGCCTACGTTCCTTTCATTCCAACCGTCCCCCAAAAAGGAGTAGAAACAGACCAGGACCGTCCTGCCCAGGCTGTTTAGAGACCCTAACAGGTGGTGAACCTGGGCACCGGACTTGTCACCAGGAAGCACCTGTTGGAGGGTGCTGCGATAGAACAAGAAGTCTGTTTCCGGCCGACCGTTCTTGGATAGACCACGTACTCTGTGGGCAAGTAAACCTGACATGTTTGGACATCGCGTGTTCAATGACATGAATGAAAGCCTGTCCGAACATGTCCGAACAGATCTTCTGCTAAGGGTTTAACAGATAAAACATCAGTCGGGCCGGGATTTAGTTGCAAATCCCTTGTGAACCAAACAGAGCTGTTTGGGTCTAGAAGCTCCAAGGGGAGGTATCAAGATGATCCTCAAATCTCAACCCAGGAGCCGCCTCCATCCCCTCCTTCGGTGGCGCCGGTGGCGTCAGCACAACTTGCCTGAGGAACGCGGCAGGAGCCTTCTGCCCACACATAGTGCTGAAACTTGAGAGAGGAGGGGGGTGAACGAAAGGTAGCAGGGAATCAGGCGTAATCCGGGAGGAGGTGAGAGGCCCCCCACTTGTTTGAAGAGAAGTGAGTGAGCGTGATGAAAGAAAGACTAATGCACAAACGCTTGACAAAACCTCCAGAAGCTGTAGCGGTCTAGCGGTTTCAATACAGGTTGACGTGCCTTCAAAAGGAGTCACATATTTCTCAAATGCAACTTCGGATTTACATAGTGACGTGCGGCGACCCTGTAAATTGCGTGGCCGCAGGCCATGCTTGCAAACAGGACGTGCTCAAAAACACTGGTATTTACGAGGTTTCGTTGCCGTCGATCCACAGCCGCGGCAAGGTCTAAGGCCACGCTTGAAGACAGGAGGAGCTGAAAACACTGGTATTTACGGTATTTTGTAGCCGTCGATCCAAAGGCGCACCACGGTTGAGCGCTGGAAAAGCGCAGAAAACCGTGTAAATACCGGCGTTTTCTGCCGAGAAGGTGCACAAAACCCTGTAAATACCATAGTTTTGTGCAATTTTGAAGCCTCCAAAAGCCTCAAAACCCCTTTCTGACAAAATCTTTCCTGGCTTTTGGTCTTTTTTCGGTCATTTTTCTAACCGATACGCATCAAAAACCATCGGTTTTTGCGGTGTTTTTTGCCGGACAGCCACAAAAAACGCTGTAAATTCCATGATTTTTGGTCACTGCTGAGGACTGGAAGAGCTGAAAACACTGATATTTACAGTGTACAGTGTTTTCGAACGGTTGACCCCGAGGCGCGCTAGGGTGGAGTTGAAAGGGGGGGGGGGCCCCCCCCCCCCCGCCAGCAAACGAAGATGTCGGGGACCATTTCTCCGAGAGATAGGCTGCAGCTCTGGGTTAATACATTTTTGCTAAAGCAAAAGGAAAACTCAGGTAGCGTAACCGCTACCTTTCGTGACATTCAAAACCTTTGGTATCGGGGGCCTCTGACTGCCACTGTTCCATGTACTTTGCGCCGTGAACAGCCCAAAGCCGCGTTGGTCATGAACACCGCCTCTTTTATCTGCTCCATACCCCACCCCAGAATACTGCTCCGTACGTTGCCAGAAGGCTGCTCTGGCTGCTCCGGCTGCTCTGGCCGCTCCGGCTGCTCCGGCTGCTCCGCATCTCGATGAGTGACCTGCCAGGTTCGACACAAAGAACCCTCTCCGACTGCGGCCGCTGGCTCAACGCCGTCGCGCGCGGTGCCCCATCAACGCGCGGGTGCCGGTCAACCGGTCGAGTGTGACCGGTCTGACGGATGGAATACGAGGATCTTGGTGTTTGGTGCGTCATTGAGCCAGTTCTAGGCGCGTGAACAGCACCTCCAAAATGGAGGTTCGAGGGTTGGACATCGACTTCAGGTCAGCCCTCCTCAATAGGTGTCCACACCTGCAGGAAACCCATTCCTTCCCAGCCCGCGCAAAGGAAACATACGCTGCCTCCGCGGACGCTTGCGCCGGTGTTGTGGGCAGTGCAGGGTCAGGCTCCAGGAGGTGCCTCAGAGGGGCAAGCAGAGTGTCAGGGTGGGTGAGGTCAGGGTGAGGTCGTCCACAAAAAACCAACCTAACCTTTTGCCCAAATCAATGGGAAAGGCGCTAGTTTGACTGTTTCCGTACTTTTGCCCCTGCTTGAAAGACAAGGAAGCGGCCTTCTCAGATTGTGCGGGGTATCCTCACTGTTCTTCCATATTGCTACCTTAACTTTTCAGCAGCACATCTGTTCTGAAACCATCTGCACTTCCTCAACAGGTTACACGTTCGGCGTTGGACCTAGAAGCCCTGCATCACCTTCCACCTTCCTGTGTTGCTCAACCCCGAATCAGAAGGGCGTAACTGTAATTCCAAATCCACTCAAAAGATCTCAGAAGCCTGAGAGACACAACAAAAAGACCAGGCCGCTGGTGGTCTGCTCGCAGCGCGTGCTCTGTACTTGGGACATCTTGAAGAGGCGCCTGCAGGCGGCAAGTGTTTCCTGACCCTTCACACAAAGGTCAAAGGTTGCTCTGCCAATCGCTTCTGGGGCCACATATGGGTGTGAGGGAAACCTCCCAGAACCAATTCCTGGGGACGTCCAGGGTGAAAGGGTCTGTGGGAATGGTGGTGGAAGGAAGAAAAAGGACGATGCAAAGGTGGATGGTCCAATCTGATACGAGTTGTTGATCTTCTTGGAACTTTATGACTATATATGCACTTTGAAGGTGACATTACACTGATTACAGAAGTTCAAGAGTTGGTATTGGGTCCAAGTTCTTAATGTCGCAACGACAGGCCAGTGGCGCTCAATGTCCAGCACTGATTTGCTTCTTCCGTCCACCCCCCCCCCGAGACGCCTCCTCTCGTGCAGCGGTTTCATGCCCGGGGGTCTTTGGCAGCAACCTGAAGAGGCAAAAAGCAAACCAATCGGTGTCTGACTGGTGCGACTCGTAGGGAATGAGGGTGGCTGGATCCAAAGGAATCTCTATTGGGGGCGAAACTTCCCTCATTCCCTACGAGTCGCACCAGTCAAGTGTTGTCGTTTCCTTGATTGTGACCGCCCCAGCACCGAGTGACATCGGTATTTGTCTGTTCTGCTTAGCACATGCTTCCCGTGAGTCGAACTGGGGGGGGCGACGCACGCACAGGCCTCTTTCCACATCACATCAGGCCCCTTGACACAGATAGTCGGCCCAGAATTGATGATCAAATCCACAGTTTTACACCAACGCGATAACACAGATGTTCATGTTTGTCATAGTCAAGTTCTGTGACTTTCAAGAGTCCAACCCCCCGAGAACGCGCAAAGCTTTCAAGAGTTAGCTACATGAAAACAGTTAGCGAAAATCGTCGATGGATCCGGCAAGGACTTTTTGGAGGGCTCTCCACACTCGTCGCGACCATATGCAGCCGAAGGTCGACGACGTCGCCGTGTCCTGCGGGTCCTGCGGGTCCTGCTGATCTGGCTGGTTCCGCTGATCTGGCTGCTCTGCCTGCTGAGGCTGATTCCTTTCGACCCTTTCCACCTCCTGCTGCGTCGACGCACCAGGCTCCACAGCCTCCGCCTGCAAGGATTGCCAGCGACGCAGGGGGGCGCGCGGGATCACAACGATCGCGGACGTCCGACCAGACAGGAGCAGACCATCGGCTGCTGAAGGTTGGATCCCAGGCCTCTCGGTGAAAGCCAGATCTTCATTCAGAAAGGTCTCCATGATGCGAGGTGCGTTGCTAAACAACGAAAAAGGTGGTTTTTTCTCGCTGCAACCAATCATGGCACACCTTCTCGTTTCTGGGGCCACATCGCCTCAACAGCGCCGGTTCCGTTCGTTTAGCTCCAGCACCAGCATTCCAAGACCATTCCAGGCTCGTCATCCGAACCATCCGAACCATCCGAACCAGTTTCCAACGGGGTCCACCTCCGGAGTCTGGTTCTTGGGCGATGAAGGTGTCTGCAAGTCTGCCCTCGGCAAGTGGATCAAGAATCAAGAAGGTGAAAACAGGAAGAAGAGAGCCTGTGAAAACAGCCTCTTGCAATCAGAAGCACTGTGAGAATTTATTTCAAAAACTGAAGTTAAGAAGGAAAAGTAAAGTGATGTTGGTCCTTTGGTTCTGTTGGTCCTTTCTCTCTTGTCAAGGAAGGATAGGATGGGTTTTTCGTGCGGTATAGGGGTTTAACCATGTATACCATTGAATCTGTATGTGTCTTGAACTATGTCTTGGTAGTTCCCCCCATCAACCAATCCACTAAAACCGCTGCGTATGGTTGCTCACTACTCGGGTCTGCCAAGCAGTGCCAAGCGCCCAAAAACAGCCAAAGCTCTCTTGGCCATCTGAGAGCTGCTGATTGGGCTTTCCATCCTTAGGCGAGCGCAAAGCAAGCAGCGTGTGCACGTCAAGTGCCCGTGCACCGTCCACAAGAGAAACTCAAGCAGCCAAGGAAGCGTGAGGTGGGCTTGGTGAATGAAATGCGAATCAATTTCATTCCTTTTGCGAAGCAGCACCTTCATCCGATCCACTGAACTCGCCATGACATGTGGATATCGTTCAAAACCTCATCTCCTCAAGAAATGTTGCAAGTTCTGCTTTGGTTCCGAATCGAAAGCAACACTGATGAAGGGAGCGCATGATTTGCGTTGATTTGCCCCACTGGAATGGACTCTCTTGCCTCTTAAAGTTCTTCCAAGCCTAGAAGCAGGCACCAGCTCAGCTTCACCAGCTTCCGCTGGCGTGGCCGAAATCTTTGGAGAACCAGGAGCTTCGGAAACCAGCCTCAGGAACTGCAAATTCCGTGGCGCGTTACTCCCTGGAAGGAACATGGTTTTACGGTATACGTAGATGGCAGTTCAGTTTTCACAAGGAAGACCGGACCATCTTCGGGAGACCCCACACAGGAGGGTGAACTCCACTTCCATCTTAGTTCGGGGGTAAAGTCTACAGAAACGATGACTTGACCACACAGGGTTGTTGAGCGGTGTCGTCGTGTAACCATTGATCAAAACAACGACACCGGCAAGTGGGTTGTTGGATGAATCGCTGTGTCTCATGCACCACATGTTTCTTTGAGTGCTTTGAAGCACCCCAAACGGGTTCTTTTCCCGCGGGAAACAAAAAAGCTGGGGAAATGGCATTCACCTGCAGACTTCATCCCAGGTCGCAAGAACCTTACTAATCGGTCTTATCAGGCTACATCAAAGCTTGATCAAAGAAAGGGTTGCATCTTGGGAGGATAGATTCACGTGGAAGCTCCCTCACAAGCCAAGCCCTTGCCATCCATTGTGCCAAAGTTCTCTTGTTCCTTTTCTCTCGGTTGCGGCTCTTGCCCGTGCTCGTGGGAAGCCACCTGCGGGCAGCCATCCGCTCCCAATCTAGGAGGCCCAAGGGAGCCAAGTCTTTGTCAGTATATTGCTGGACACGAGCAAAA